TTGCACTGTATCACTGATAACCAAGATTTTACCTATGAAGAAAAAGAGATGAAAGAAAGATCAAAAGCTTAAACGAAAATCTTATAGTACTGAATTTGAATTAGAAGTGTCACTATATACTCATGATACATTTCATCTGCTAAATATATGTCATATAAATAATTAAGTGTATGTACATGTATTTCCTAGTTCTGTCTACTAAAGGGTCTACAAATAGCAACAAACACAGTAGCAAAGATCATCTACAGTATCTACACTGAGGTTTCCAAATGTAATTTTCCTCTATACAGTACCAAGCCTTCATGAAGAAATGACTGATTCCAGATCAAGGGCAGGAAATGTACAAAATCAACCTAGTACATCTTGTTATGCCAGAAAGCACGGAGCTATCAAGGACTACTAAAGTCTTATTAAAAGACTCAAGAACCAATTTGAAGAAGCTAAAGATACAATGATTTGAATATCGTTACTAATAACCGCAAGTGATTAAAAGATTTCAATCGTGTTTATTCCCACAAATTCAAAATGATATGTATTTACCTCCCCCTAACAAATCCCAAAACAAACCTTTGTCACCCTTGAAGGATGCTAGGGAACCACCTCTTTATTTTGAAAACTGGTGAACAAAGGGAAAGAATGTAATATTTATCCTTCTTTTCCTGAGCGAATTGTATCTCAGGGTTACTAAATGAGTGTTGAAGAAAATTTTCTCTTTCTAGGGACTAAATGAAGAAGGAATGACATACTTGGAAAATAACCATTTGTAATCCAAAATTACGAAATAATGAATCCAGAAAATAATCATCAATGGATGTGAACATCCAAAAGAGAGAGACAACTAGAGGTTTTCTCTGCTTCTGGATAGATACACACAACACTACCTATGGGACATTATTACCAAAAAATAGTAGTTGAATCTGATTAAGGCTCTATCCAACTACCAAGTTACAAGAAATGCAAAAGATAAACATGCTAAATATTACCATGGAAATTCAATGACCAAAATCCAGACTGGTAGACACTCTATACGAGAAAAGCCTAGTTTCTTAACAAATAAATAATTAGAGAAAAACAGACAAAGATAGACAGATAATAGAAGAGAACCTATAGATTTAAAGAGATTTAAGAATCACAACAGTTATTTGCATAATATGGACCTTATCTGAATTCTGATTTACTCAACCTATAAAAACACATTCTGACTCCAGACTTTGAAACAATTAGGGAAGTTGGAACATTGACTGCATATTTAATGCTCTTAAGGAATTACTGTTCAATTTTAGGGTAGTATGATGGCATTGTGCTTATGGCTACAATAAGGAGGCCTTACTTTTAGATTTGCATAATAAAGTATTTATAGATGAAATGATAAAATGTCCAAGATTAATTTCAAAATAATCTGATAGGGACAAAGCAGATCACATACAGATAAAACTAGGTTAGCTGTGAATTGATAATTCTTTAAAGCTGGGTGATAGGTACTGCTCTCTCTACTTGGATAACTAGTAGGGCATTAAAAAGTGAATTTAAACACAAGATTAAATGAAAAGGCAGATTTGGAAATCATTACAAAAAAATCAGAAGGACTTGGCAAATGCTATGCAAGTATCACCAAAGTGGAGTGCTAAGGCAAAGTAAACACATTGTTTGGGAGGTTGAACGTTTATGAAATAGCAGTCACATCTCTTCTAATTACTTCTTCCATGCCTCACTAGTAAGACAGGTTAGGGTTTCTTACAAATGCCTCCTAACACAGAGGAGACAGTCATCACAGGCTGACTCTCCCAGGAAAGAATACATTCCAACAAGATCCAGATGCAGCCACCAAATGAGAAGAGGTCATACTAGCAACAGCAAAGGTGGGGGAAAGGCCCGGCTCCAGGCAACGCGGTTGAACTAGGGCCTCTTCTTGTGGCTATGTGAACCCGAGGACATCAAAGCCTCCCACGAATCTGTGCCAGTGAAGCTGTATGAGGCATGACACAGTCATCAAAAATGGGAAAGAACCCCTTTGATGGGAAAAGAAGACTAAAATCTCATATAGTGGGTGTGCTTATTTTTACTTATATTATTTCCTGTCATCATTATATATTTTAAATAATAACATTAGAATCTTTTTAAAATTAAAAATATTATAAAAGTGATTTTTGAGGCCTACAGAAGAATAATTATAGGAGCCTGCACTACGAAAAGACCAGGAATTGTGAAAGAAAAACATTCTGAATCTAGAAACATAAAGGTAGGATTTGAGAGCCAGGCGCAGTGGCTCACGCCTGTAATCCCAGCAGTTTGGGAGGCCGAGGCAGGTGGATCACCTGAGGTCAGGAGTTCAAGATCAGCCTGACCAACATGGCGAAACCCTGTCTCAACTAAAAATACAAAAATTAGCCAGGCATAGTGGCACACGCCTGTAGTCCCAGCTACTTGGGAGGCTGAGACAGGAGAATTGCTTGAACCCAGGAGGCGGAGGTTGCAGCGAGGCAAGACCGTGCCACTGCACTCCAGCCTGGGCAACAGAGTGAAACTCTGTCTCAAAAAAAAAAAAGTAGGATTTGACACTCTAATTACTTATGATGACATTATCTTAGTTTTCCTTTTTTTTCCCCAAGAAATCATGGAGTTCATATCAGTGATTCTCAGGAGGGGACTGCATATTTCACAGGATAGAAGAAAGTGTAAGAAGTAAGCATCTGCAATTTAAAAATAACTCCAGGTGATTTTGACATACCTGTACCCCCGTAGAGGACCTGTCAAGGACCAGTAGGGTGACTGGCCAAGGCCTGTGTGTTGCCAAAATGCACCTGAGATAATCAACATGGAAAGCTGGAGATTACTGTTTTAAACACCTCTGAAAGGTAAGCAGAGCTGCAATGTCAGAGGATAACGAAATCCCCCTGAACTTCCTTACCACTCACACCACTGCCGCGGATGAGCAGCTCTGAACTGTGAGGATGGTTCAAGGAGGGTCAGAGGGGGTTCCACTGCAGACCATCTTCTGGCAAGCGCGTGTATATATCTGCCTACCTGCACCACTGCTCCCATTTGGCTGAGGGACAATAACAGGCAGATGATTACAGTGCTCTTTGCAGTCAAACTTGTGAGCATCATGGAAGAGTGCTTGAAGAAGAGTGTCTAATTGATGTCTGGCCACATCAATCTGGCACCTGCACCAAAAACACTTTTTGTATCTCTGTAATTTTCTTTCATCACCAACATATCTGAGACTGTTACGGCTTCTGATGATGCTGACTAGTTCAATTTGGACAAAACATGCATACCAACAGCAGCACCCCTCATGACAACCAATCCTGAGTTTCATGCCAGACAGGTTTGTTTCTTTCATAATTACAGTGTCCACAAAACTGTTCTTCCTCCAGTAAGAAGAGGGGGCTGACTGATGTAGATGGTGCCTTCTATGCAGCATGTTCAAAAATGCAGTGCACTGAGCTGAAATAAGTAGCCAAATGCTACACATCTTGTAAATAAGAAGGGTCTTGGTTTCTAAGATCCTTCTCACTGAGGGCTCTCCTAACTACACAGTCAGATATACAGTGAGGCCTACAGTCTGTAGAAGAGCCTGAACAACAGGTGAAAAAGAATGCCCTCCCAGCAACCCTCCATCACCACAATTCTGTACAGCCTACAGAATTAAAATACAATAATATCAGGTAATGCTTCAAACTTGCTAACTTTCAAATTACTCAAAAGTCACACAAATTATTAATATTTATATTTAATGTTAAAAGTATATTCATAACAAAATTAAAACCAAGGCAGCTATTTCAGTTGAGCTCCAAATACTCTCTATATTGGAAAATTTTCCACTCCTGCTACTTTATTAATATTATTCTCCCAAATTTCCGTAAGTAAAGGATTAGGCTTTAGACTCAGCAGATGTTAGGAAAATTTAGGCTATGACCATTTAAAGAGTTAATAAACATTTGCAAGTTACACTCATCTTTCTCATTATAGTTATTCCCATGCTTTTAGGTCAATATGGACATGTGTGCCAACATGAACAAAACTTGGGAAGGAGAGGTGACATGAGTCCCTTTGTAAAGGTACAGAATTCTATTTTAGACCACAAGGCAAGGTCATCTTATCCCCACACCGGAACATACGAAGTCTCTTCTCAAAGGAAACTGCAATAAAGGGACAGAATCAAGGAGCTAATTGATCTAAGCATGATCTTTGCAGCAGGTGAGTGAAAACCTATGGGCATGGGGGGAAAAAAAGCAGAATAAGCAGTCTGGATGGGCAAAGCTACTCATGAATGTCAAGACCTGGGATGGACTGTGCACAATGCCCAGACTACCCATTACTGAAAATAAAAACAAAACAAGACAGAGAACAACCAAGCAAACAATTACACCAAAATTTAAAATCCTCTTTCCAAATATCAGTCAGGCAGTATTTCCCATCCAATCACTTGACTTTTGCAATGACAATTCAAAAGTGACAATTCAGTCACTTTGGTCTTATTTAAATTATATGGAGGCACATTCATGAGCTGAACTTTCTTGAGGCTACATCGGGCAAATATGAATTTATATATCCATGAAAAGAAGATACCTCCACAGCTAAGCATACCACTCCTATCAAATCAAAGGCCAAAATACCTGCACAGCCATGGAAAGTCTGAACATCCAACCAATATCATACAGACTTCTCTTCAAACTCACCTATCATTAAATCCCTTCGTGTGAGGGGCTTCACCTGACCATCACAAACATTCGCTACATAGCAAATCTGAATGAATTACCAAAATATTTTCAACTCTTAAGCACTAGTACAACATTTACATTCATTCTTTTAAGTTCATTGAAATTGCTATTCTGAATACTTCTAAAAAAGGTAAGCCATTCCCTATGTCACCCAGCAATAAGGCATTTAAATCAACCAGAGTCCTTAGAACTGATTAAGATAACTTAACAGAGTAACAAAGTATTCGAAGATAAAATACCTAAATATATATATAAAAATGTAATTGTGATACTTACCTATCAGCCCCTTCTCAAGAGTGAAGGTTTTGTTTGTAAACATACATTCAAAAGCCACAATGTGAAAAATCTTGTTCACTGTGTTGTGAGTCCCAACAATTCGAATATACCTAATGGTAAAAAGAAAAGAAAATCTGTTGAAAATGAGCTCCCACCACAACCAATCCAAGGATACCAGAATAAGACACGTCACTTAAACATATAGTATACCAGGATATAGACCAAAGAAAGGATACTCTAAGCTTGACCTCAGACCCTGTATCTGCTCCTTATGGGTAGCTCCAATTGAACCTAGAAGAATTATAGCAAAATAAGGGAGATGTCATTTTGCAGAAAATTAAGTAGAACTTAGATTGGATTTACCCAAAAAAACCAAACCAGGTGCTGTTCAGTTCAATCCCTGAATGTCAGTCAGGTACATGACCTGAAGACATTTTTACCAGATAATACCAAGTAGCTTCTGCTCTTGCCTTGTGGTTAGGAATGTGCGGGAGCACATGTGCACAATCAGATGCTTTCCAGCTCAGTGGAAGATTTCATCCATTGGAGATGAATGCACGAAATCAATATTGCTTTCTTCTTTAAAAGGAAAAATCCAGAAACTACTGAAAACTCCTCACAGTTTCTTTTATTTTAATAATGCTCCTAAATCTTTGTTAGGAAGTTAACCTTATACACTGACGCCAGCCTCCCACTTGACTGCTGGGAAGTCTCCTGACCAGAGGAAGTGATCTGCAGAGATGGCCCAGCCTGCTCTGCAGCCTCCATCCTGGCCACATCAATCTGGCACCTGCACACAGTGCAGAGTTTCACTGGGCAGCCCTTGAGCATCTTGGCCTGTTCATCCTCTTTAATTCCCTGGAGACTTCATCTCCAACAAACAAGCATTAACCTTGGAGTAACTTGCTCTCTTCACTCTCCAAAGGGACCTGACAGTTCACAGGTTAATGAACAGATAAACTCACTCTTCTGAGTGTCACATGACTCCACGAGGGATGTGCCACACACCGTCTTACTGGAATTCAAAGGAAGAACCAGGAAAAATAACTAGATTAACTGATAACGCCTCCCAAATTATGAACTATGCACTCTGAAGGATGGGGTATATTAAATTGAACAGATTTCAATTAGGACATGACAGACTGGACAAGGTTTTAGTAATCTCCACCCCTCTGCTGTGTAAAACAACCTTCAATTTAGACGATATAATTTTACTTCTGAGTTAATCGCTATTCACTAATTCAGTAATTTCCTTACATTTCTCATCAGTCCAAGTTAACTGTATAATGTAAATGCCGATTTAGAAAATTCACATTAAGGAGACTATATTTGGGGTTTTTATATCATGGGCTATTTTCCCTCCTGATTCTTCAAGCCTGACTCTCATGGCATTCCCTGTGCACCTCATTTAGCCATCTGCTCCTTGACATGAGCTGATCACTCATCTTTATAACCAATATTAATGCTATCTTCTGAACTGCCTGTCCAGTGTGCTCACACCTACTGCAGGGAGACACCACTCTTCCTGTGTTGAGAATCAACACAACTGCTACATGTACCAGAGCCCACTGGTTAAGCAGGAATTTGGCCCTAATCTGTTCCTTCAAACCCTCAAGGCAGACAGAAAGTACTGCTTTTACTGGGTTTGGGTGGATGGGTAGGTTCATTCAACATAAGTTCTTACTGGTCTGGGTAGTAAAGACTATATTGTCCTTCACTTTGGCAGTGACAATCTCCCTGATGCTTTCTGGAAGGGAAGGAGTGTATTAATTCTGGCACCTTGGCCTGAATCTAATTTTGTCCATTTCCTTAAACCCACAGAAACTCAACCAGCATAGCATTTTCAACTGTATATGGCTGTGACAGCCTGAGTGCTGCTGTCTGCAACCTTGGAGGGAATAGAGGGAATGTGGTTTAGTGGAATTTGATCACATCATTTTGCTACTCTCTAGCTCAAATCTCTACCAAAGGAGAGACAGCTCTCCTACTGTGCACAGAAGAGCCAGGAAGTGACTAACAGGGTCTTTTCCCAATGGTGGTTCTTAAGGTTAATATATTCCAGGCTAACCTAAGGGGATTCAATAACCTTCCTTCCCTCCTGTTCTTTCTTTTTAAAACAATATATGGAATCAGGTTTTCCAAGTTTAGACAACTTATTTCCCAAATTTTACCCAGTGCAAACATTGGGAATGCAAGAAAATATGCAATCCTCCCCTCTCTCGCCCCGCAGTTATAAGCAACTGAGAATAAAAAGTTATACTGGAATACATTTTATACCCTTATGATAGTATTTGTGATAACAAACAAAATAATATATATGGTGGAAAACGCATTGAGAGATGCCTCCAGATAAAAAGTTCTGTGTAAACGAAGATAATGTTATCTCTGCTGCATAATCCTGAAGTCAAATGAGCAATTCACCATTATATATCACACCTTCTGATCAGCCTGTTATATGCAATGCTCACAACAAGTTTAATTATTCTACTTTTACAATGCTTCCTACGTCTCAAAAAAAAAAATAGCATAATTTGCAAAAATGATGTAATGTCCCTACTCAAATACATATTTTAAAAAATGTGACATCAAAAGAAAGAAGCCAAGCTCCTTTTTCTCAAGCAAAAAGCTGCAAACATCCTGGACTTTCCCCATACTGAAGATCTAGCCTAGAAATGGCAAAAGGCTTCAACTAATGGCCCAACATCAATGACTGGAGGAGCAGCCTGAAACTCTACATTAAGAATTCGGGGCCAGGCGTGGTGGCCCTGTAATCCCAACACATTGGGAGGCCTGGGTGGGTGGATCACTTGAGGTCAGGAGTTCAAGACCAGTCTGGCCACCATGGCAAAACCCCATTTCTACTAAAAATACAAAAATTAGCCAGGCGTGGTGGCATGCGCCTGTAATCCCAGCTACTTGGGTGGCTGAGGCAGGAGAATCGCTTGAAACCAGGAGGCGGAGGTTGCAGTTAGCTGAGATCGCACCACTGTGCTCCAGCCTGGGTGACAGAGTGAGATTCTGTCTCAAAACAAACCACCACAACAAAAAAGGCCCTGTCCAGCACAGGAGTAGTGCCTTGATCCATGAGCAACGACTGAAAGGGGGAGGAGGCAGCACAGGTACCATCCTTGATCACCAGCATATTTCCTTAACGGTGCTCACAGTGGAGCACCCCAAGGTAAAAGAAGTTATTACTACCCAAGTTATTGAAAAATCCAAGGGATAGGAATGGGAGAGTCCTCTCTCTTTTTGCTTTTTTTGAAAAACAAAACAAAACTTGGTTTTGGGTCATAACACCAAAACTGGAGAAGTAGGTATCGCATTTTCTCTGTCACAAGAAATCCTGAATATAGGTAAAGTTTAAGATTTATTTCTTTGCCTTTTCAGCGCAAGTCAGACTCTGATTTAACCAGATAATAAGGGCACTGGCAGCCAGTGACTTCATCAGTGTGCAGAGAGGAGAACTGCTGAAAAATAGAACAAATATCCTTTGTTCTTGCTGAGGTCCTCAACAGCAGCTCAGACAGTTGGAAGATAATTAAAACTTAAACAGTGCAGACGAAGGCAGATATGCAACAGATTGGCCATTTCTGATGAGGGTGAATGCTGTCCACGTGAACCATAGTGTAACAGTCTGTTTCCAATATTCTCCTCCCTTCCCTATGTTAGCTGTCTTCAAGTAGCTGACAGAGACTGGATACTGAACATAGTTCAGAACAGAATGTTTCAATACAGAAATTTCTAGGAGCTATAAGATTGTGGGTGAACGAGATTCTGTCTTCTTTAATAAAATAAAACTGAAACCTCCAAGGACAGCACTCTAAAACTGAAAGGCACTACAGAGTTTTGACACAATGTGGCTTTTAGCGTCCAACAGAATCAGGTTTGTAGCCCAGTTCCATCACTTAATTAAGTGTGTCACTAAAGGGAAAAAAAAAAAAAGAAAAAAAAATATATATACACACATACACACACACACACATACATACATACATTTTTGAGACAGGGTCTCATTCTGTTGCCCAGACTGAAGTGCAGTGGCACGATCATGCCTCACTGCAGCCTTGACTTCTGGGCTTAAGCGATTCTCCCACCTCAGCCTCCCAAGTAGCTGGGACTACAGGCATGCACCACCACACCTAGCTAATTTTTTATAGAGATGTTGCCCACACCGGTCTCAAACTTCTGGGCTGAAACAATCCAACTGCCTCAGCCTTCTAAAGTGTTGTGATTATAGGTGTGAGCCACCGCACCTGACCCCCCAATTTTTTTTTAAACTTCGTTTCCTCCTCTATAAAATGAGGTCAGTAACACGAACTTTACAGGGTATTTAAATGAGACAAGTATTTAAAATATCAGATGCAGTGCTTGGCAGAGTAGGATACCATTAAACAGAAATTCAAAGAGGAGATTACAGGATGCAGAATTTCTTGGTTAGGACGTTGAGAACGCTGGTGGTCTTGGAGAGTATAGTAGTTAGTCCCCCCTTACCTGTGGTTTTGCTTTCTACAGTTTCAGTTACCTGCAGGACGGTATCATATTTGGAGACAGCAAGAGGGAGAGAGACTGCATTCCCGTAACTTTTCACAGTATATTGTTATAATTGTTCTAATTTATCATTAGTTATTGCTGTTAAACTCTCACTGTGCTTAATTTATAAATTAAACTTTACCATAGGTATGTATGCATAGGAAAACGTATAGTACATATAGGGTTCAGTACCATGCATAGTTTCAGGCACCCACTGAAGGTCTTAAAATTTATCCCCTGAGGATAAAGAGGGGATTACTGTGTTACTGACTTTAGATGTTAAAATGGTGCATCTATGAGAGGCAGGCCAAGGCAAAGACTTCAGGAACACAGGAAGGGGCTTGTCCTTCCTCTTAGAGCACTACAGTATGGGGACTATGGGCCATAGACATTTAGAATGCAAGCAACATTCAGAATGTAGATTTCCTGGCTCTACGACACTTCTCGCTTTAATCCTCTAGCCTTTAAAAAAATGTTCTTGACCTGTCTTAACTAAGCATGAGGAAGCAAGGGAACAATCTTCTGCCCATATTTGGGTTTAAAGTTTAACGTATCTTCTCCCTTCCTCCAACCCAGGATC